AAATATCAAAAAATTTAATCACAATACTTTATTACAATTTTAAATACCGCCTTAAGTTTTTTTTTTTAATTAGCAATAGAAGTTGTGACTATAATCATGGTTTTTTTTTTATCTTTTATTATTTTAAATATATATAAATATTACTTACAATTAGTAAAAATATATTAAAATTAATAAATTTGCATTCTTAAATGAAGTGATGTATGATAAATATATGTAGGAAGTATTACCAAGCAAAGCCTTCGAGTTTTCAGATTATAGAGTATGATGCAGGAGGAATGTTAATGCAGATTTCATTAATTAGGAATGTTATTCTTAAAGATCTCATCCACTAATTATGCACGAGAAAAGCACCTCGGCTAGAATGCTAATTCACCATAATTTCCTTTAAAAAAAAATACACCGCTAACTTTAAATATTAAGCTAAAATCTCTCTTCACAAATTACGCTTTCTTCAAAAAAAAAAAAATTTTGTGCACAAAAAATGCTTTGATTCTTTCTGTAACGAGTTCCAATGTAAAAGTTTTTTTTGTTTTGATTTTTTTATAATTAAAGTACTAGTATTCTCATGGCACCAAAACGAGTAGACTATATAATAGTGTTTTTTAACTTGTTTCTTTTAGAATACACTCTTAAAAATAATTTTTAATTAATAAATATTAAATAATATATAAATTAATATTAATTTTAATATTTATGTTAAATAGATAAATTAAATTAAATAACTAATAAATTATATATTAATTTTTATTCTTAATAGAAATTTATAATAAAATATAAATTTAATACATTCTTCATTTATATCTTAAAGATACTTTATATAATATTATGCGTCATATTATAGGATTTTATTTAAAAAATTTTATTAAATTATTTTTCCAAATTTTTAGTATACTATAAGGTTGAGTCTTCAATGAGTTAATGATTTTTTTTTTTAAATAGGTATAATTTGAAAGTAAGAGATGAGAAGTTATATTATAATAATGTTTATCAAGTTACCTATGAGGCCTACTGCTAATAAATTAATGATTTTGATTATTAATTACCAAGTATTATATTAATCACATGTTGCTTTTCTTGATTTAGATGTGATGTTCTTAGATCAGATTTAATGACTCCTCAAAATTAATTCTTTTTTAATTGATCTTAAAAGCAAGCTTTCTATATCATCCTATGCTCCAAACTAGGCAAAAAAAGAACAAGAGTTTTTTTGTTCGGGTAAAAATGGAACCAAGAGTTCAATTACAGTTGCTGCTCATGCCTCCTTCGCCCCTTCAGCCACAAACTCATGCCCAAGAAAACGATTTTTTTATTGTTATTTTTATTTTATTTTATTTTTTTGTGCTTGTTTTACGTTTTAATCGGTTGGAGGAGAGCCAGTAGAGAAAGAAAAGAAGGAAGACTTCACAAGAACTACATCAGTATATGCTGAGATAAAATTTAGTAAAAGAAAGGGAGGAGAATAGGAGAGAGAAAGAAGGGAAGCATGGCAAAAGATTAATGTTAATTTTGTTTAAATAATTTTTTTTGAAAAAAAAGGAAGGAAAGGGGGAGAAGATTATTATTATTTTATTTAATTAAATAAATTAATTGAAAGGGCTTTTAGTGATGAAAATTTATGATGAATTCTAAAATTGTTACTATGGCTCATTACAATTGTGACAAATTTTAAAAATTAATTACAAATGTGCACATGTTCAATGATAATGAAAAAATTCATTACTTAAAAGATATTTTATTATTGTTACGTGATCACAAAGAGAAAATAGGCTTGTAATGAAAAAATTCGTCACTATAATTTGTCACTATAATTTGTCACTATAATTCATCACTATAATTGATCACAATTATAACAAATTATAAATATTAGTCATGGATACTTATATGTTCAACAATAACAAAAAAAATTCATCACTAAAAGGAATTTCATCACTTAAAAACCGTAATAGACATAATATGGGCTTGTGAGGATGAAAATTGTTACTAAAACTCATTACAATTGTGACACATTTTAAGTATTGGTCATAAATACTTACATGTTCAATGATGATGAAATAAATCACTCTAAAAAATGGTCATAGATAGCATATAAGTTTCTGATCATAAAACTTATTACTGTAACTCATTATAATTGTAACAAATTTTAAATATTAGTAATAGATTTCGCCCATTGTCACCCATATTATATTTTAATAACAAAATTTTTTATTGAAATTTTAATTTTAAGCAAATAATTATTTTTTAGAGAAAAGATTTGATTGCATAATAACTTAGGTTTAGGGACTTAAGTTAAAATATTTTAAAAGCTTAAGAGCAAGAAAAGTTAAAATCCTAAGCATAAATTGAATAGGTTAAAAGTTTTGGGATCAAAGTATTCACAAAGCAAAAGATTAAGGACCCTATTCACTAGTTTACCAGTGAAGAAATTGCAAAGAGCAGGGTCCTTAAAGTCAACATGGGTTAGGTGTCGGCAAAAACCTACTTTGGGCCCCTTACTTTACTAATTTTGTAAGTTTTAGTTCATCACTTTATATTATAACACTTTTAGCCCCCTACCTATTAGAATTGAAGAAAATAACCATCACTTTATAATACTTTATTAGTTTTGTTAATTGACTGTTAACTATATTAGCTGAAAGTAGATTTTTACTAACTAAAAGTCAGTTAATAGAATTAATAATCAGCTAACAAAACTAACAAAATGTTATAAGTGAAGGTTATTTTTTTTAATTCTAATAAATGAGAGATTAAAAGTGTCATATTATAAAATAAAAGATTGAAACTTACAAATCTATTAAGATAAAAGGCTAAAAATAAGTTTTCAGCTTAGGTGTCGAAACTACAAAGGCAAACACCTTGCGTCAGGAATTTGCGGAAATTTAAAGTTGAAGGAACGCCACGTGCTTTTTATATTTGATATTTGGCATATAGTATATGTCAAATATTAATATTTTTTTATAAACAAAATGTTATTTCAATTTAATTGTAAGTAGATAATGCTAATTTTTTATATTTGAATTATTAAATTTAACATAATTTACAAATAAAATAAAATGGGGTGAGAGGTTTTTGATAATATCAATTGTAAAATTATTAAATTTAAATAAATCATTTTTTAATGGAGTGGGGTTTTCAGTAGAAGAATGTTTAGAATTTAAATTTATTTTAACTTTCAAAAAAAGATAATGTCAATTTTATATATTAGAATAATTAAATTCAATAAAATTTATCCATACTATATATATATTTATAATTTCAATTTACTTTTTTTTTGGTATATTTAATTTATTATTTTGTTACCAAATAATTATAATTTTTAAACAAATTCCAAAAGTAACCAATGTAAATTATCTACTTTAATTTAATATTTCTATTACATTTAAATTTCTTCAAATTAGAGAATATATATAATACTAAATTAAAAGCCACAGTACCAATTATTTAAAATCTAAGAAGTTGTCAATAGATTTAAAGCATGATAGAAAAGGTATGAGAATATTATTCTATATCTAGTTAATCTTGTTTAATTTATATATTTTGTTGAACTATCAATAGTCTTTACCTTTTTCTTTCAAATCTCTTATTACAATTTTCTTATAGTATGCTTTGATTTATCATCTATTTTATTTTGCAAAAAGGAAAAATTAGGACGTCCTGAAAATCCGGAAACCCTTTTATTTTTAAGGCCTTTTTTGAGTTAAATTTTAAAAGTAGTGTACACTTTTAAAATTTGTGGGGTGATAAAACAGAGACTAGAATGCTTCAAGTGCACTTTGTCATGTCCACCACCATATATTTGTTAAATTGTTTAAGTGAGGTTGAGCTGAATTTTTTTTTTTTTTTATCAATATACTTGTTTGTCTTATTTGTCTTTGTTCGAGTGTTTTGGCATAATTTTCAAGTTGAAACATTTTTGGGTGGAGGAAAACAGTACACTCTTGACTCTAATCTAGGGGATTAGTTCTTTGTTATCTATCACGAGCACTTGGCATCCTTTTGAACATTATAAATTTCAACATATAATACATAGTGGGGAACAAAGTGATACTTGTGCATAACTGTATCTACATGAGTTGGCTTGGGAGGTAGTTTTGGTGAAAGATGATGAATTCATAATACACAGAAAGTTCTTGTAAATAAATAATATGTGATATACCCTATTTATTAATAATATTTAAGTAAACCACATCAAAGACAAAAATGAGGTGGAAATTTAAGCTAATTTATAATTTTTTTATTTGTATGTTATCTTTTTATATTAGTTAATTATGTAATTTGACGAAAGGATTTATTTAAAATTAATGATTATCAGTTGGTTATTTTAATTTAATATTTATAAAACCAAAGTATATATTATTGTATTTTTTTTATTGAAAAGTAATATTGTGTTTAAATTTATTTATCATCAAAAATTTATTGTTTTAGATATTAGCTATAAAGTATCTTTTGGTGCTAAAATTAGTTGTCCTATACATTGTTTTTTCTGTGACAAATTTTTTTGTCATAGATATATGTTATAATTACACAAATACCCCCTTGGCTTAATATTAGTTTAAATTAAGTGACATGGATATGACATTAGTTATGAGGTTTTTTTTACAAATGTATATTGTAATGGCAAAAATATCCTTTTTGGTTCAATATCAATTTAAATAATTAATGACTAAATATTTCATCACAAATACTCAATTGAATTTGTAACGGTTTTTTTTGTCACTTAACTGTAACCTATGTTATGAATAAAATTGCTGCAAATAACTGGTTAAAAATGTTGATTTTTTTTTATCATTATAAATTTTTCTTTTGTAATAGGTGTTAAATTTATCATTAAGAGTGTTAGTGATAAAAGTTTTGCTAATGGTTTAAATTCATTATTAATTCTAACTTATAATGAAAAATAAGGATTTAATAATCAATAATTTAGTAATTAAACGTGAATCTTTTAATATATATATTAAAATTAAAATTAAAATTAAAATTTTAATTACGTTTTTAAAAAAGAAGTAAAAGAAAAAAAATAATCAAATTCCCCCAAATTCTCCCGAATTAGTGGACTAAAAATAAAGAATTTGAAAGGAATTTGTCACTATTCCATACCCCTCTCCTCCTTTAATAAACTTATTATCCAAACAAAAAAGAAGAGACCTCTCTTTCACTCTCCTCACCTTTCCTCCAACTTTGTCAATCCAAAAAGTGTAATGGAAGAAATTTGTCGTGCAACTAGAATTCTTTCCTTTCGTGTGCAAGAGGAAAGGAAGAAAGTCCCTACCATGTGCACTACTATGGTATTTTTATTTTCTTGTTTATGTGTTCTTTTTTATTTTGTTAGCAACATTATCAAAGGGAAACACAGTCATAAGGATTATTAGAAAAATAAAAAAAATTCATAGAAACTAGACTCGTGTTTATAGAATTCCTAGAGGATCCAAATTAAAGTCTTTAATAAGAAATTTCGCTCCTGAACACAATTTTCTGGCTCCGTTTCTGTCCTTGCTGTTGTTTTCTCTTAACCACCTCCATAAAGGAAAATAGTGTTTTTGCCCTGATTCTTTTATATATATATATATATATATATATATATATAATTAAGTATTGAATAATTTAATGCAATCTCGACTGCATGGGTGCATTCATTGCATGGGTGCATTCATTGCATGGGTGCTTGAATGCAAAATTAAACCCCTCTCAATTTTATGATTTTTGTATTATAATTTAATTTATAGAATTTCAAATTATCAAATACAAAACTTTTGTAAATAAATAAACAAATATTATTTTCACATAATTTATTAAATATACGAGGAA